CTTTGCAGTCGCAGTTGTAAGGAGATCATAGTTTCCTCTTGAAGAAGAGCAAAAATTTTCCTACTTCACCTTCGTTATCAATGGCAGACGAGTCAGCTCCAACACAGACTGCTGCTGTCTTGTTCATTGGTTCGTCCGGCTCCCTTATGTGCTTTAGGTTGTACAATGTACACCGTGTAACAATTTTGTAGACAAGAAAAGAAAAGCTAAATGCTTAGTCACTAGATTTATTCTGTGAAAACAATTTTTTGAGATGTTTATTCTACTAAACACGATTATACAAATGCTATGTAATTTCAGCGAGAAACATTTGCTGACAAATTGAGTTCAATTCATGAACTTTACATTGCAATGCAATTTTTAGCTGTAAAACCATGTTTAGTTTTTCTTATATATATGATTCTGTATGATTTATTTTGTTTCCATTGCGAACCATGCCATGTACTGTAGTAACAAACTAACAACGATGTTTCTGTATGTTCTTATGTAGTGGTAGTGTGGTACTGCCTCTGTCTCAATATAAGTGCACTTAATACAAGGTTTGACATATAGTAGGACTAAAGAAAGTTGTACTGATGCGAGTTACATTTTGTGGAAATTTTCGTGCGTGTACCTTTCGGGCGACGGGCGTGCAACCACTACAAGTCTAAAAGGCCTGAACCCCCGACCCGCCTAATGCTACATTTTCAGTCTTTTGGGCAAGTGGCACGTGGGCGTGTTCCCTTTCCTATTTTAACCAAACTATTATTTCACGTATATCTGATTATAAGTTGTCTCCCTCCGATTTTATTTTAATTGACGTTTTAGACAATGACACGGTCTACAAAATATATCTTTAATCTTATTTTTCTATTATAATATACAAAATAAATAAATACATGTTTAATTTTATTATAGTGCTTTGAAAGACAAATCTATATATGTTGTTCTAATTTCTTTAAACTAAATATTTTTAAAGTTATTGATAATTAAAGTTATAAAAGTTTGACCTCAACCTTGTCCAAAACATCAATTATTATAGAACCGGAGGGAGTAACGCCTCAATATAATTAGCTGAGTTTAATAAAGCTTCAATTACAATTTTTGATTTAAAAACTATAAAACTTAGCAATAAAAGAGTAAAATTTTCATATATATATATATATATATATATATATATATATATATTCTTAGTGGCTATAACATAAACTACGATCAAAACCATCAAAATCAATTTTAAAATTAAGTTTTAAAATTTAAATTTTAGCTAACGAGTGATAAGCTGAAGTTTCGAAAGAGCAGGTACAATAACATATTACTCCATCCATTCCAAATTGATCTACATATAGTTTTTTTTAGGTTATTTCTAAATGATCTACATATTTGTGTTCATTCATTAAATCTATTCGTTATTTGTGCATTGGAGTAAATGAACATTGATACATGCATCCATGCACATAAGTATTTATAACCCACATGCAATATCTTGATTTGCTATTGGCTAGAAAATAGTGAGAATGATGCATGCATTGAGTTTGTTGCTAGAGTAAATATAGTATGAGAGAGTTATTAGCTTTTCTTGGTCTTAGTGTACCTATGAAATATGTAGATCAATTTGGAATGGAGGGAGTATAAGCTAGCTATAAATTTTTTTTAGATAATAAGCTAGCTATAAATATATTTCAAGAAGATAAAAAAGAAGAGAGAATAGCAGCGGATTACAAATTTGTAGCCAGCTGCAGTACGGACTTCAATATGCAATGTGTATGACAGGTAGGACTATGTATTTTTCGCCGGGCCGGCAAATAGCCGGCCGATGTATATTAAGAGTAAGAAAGGGAATGTACAAGGTAGCATGGTGCGTCAATGCACCACCATTACAGACATAAAAAGAAAGCTAAAATCTCACAGAATGAGTTGCTACAGAGTGACACATGGAGCTAACAAGACCTGCAGCTATCCAAGTTTCCCATTCATTCCCCATGGCAGAACAGAGCTAGGGAATCGTTGCCGCGATCCCTTCGAACACCCTTGCGTTTCGCTCTTTCCAAATCAACCAGGTTACAAGGATCACCCTCGCATCGAACGTTTTGCGGTCAACCTTAGCAACAGATTTCCGGGCTGCAAGCCACCAAACAGCAAAATCAGCCGACGGCGAGGAGCACGAAAGGCCCAGGCGTGTGCGCACCCGACCCCAAATCTGCTGGGTGTAAGAGTAGCCCATGAAGATGTGCTGACAGGTTTCCCCGTCGTTGGAGCAGAGATGGCACACCGGAGAAAGCTTCCATCCACGGCGTTGTAGGTTGTCGGCAGTGAGGCAAGCATTGTGCACGGCAAGAAACATAAAGAACTTACATCTCACCGGCGCACGAGACTTCCAAATAATCTTGCCAAGAGGGCACCTCGTCTTGCCTGCCGAGAATAGTGAATAGGCTGAGCGCACGGAGAACACACCATCCGGAGCAACCTTCCATAATATCTCATCCCAACTAGCGAGGTCAAGGGAGATTCCAGAAATCACATCCCACAAAGCTAGGTATTCGCCCAACGCTGGACTGAGAGGCCACCTATGATATCCGAGACCCAGGAATTATCGCAGAGAGCAGCCGCCACTGACATCCCACTGTTCTTAACGAAAGAGAAGAGGATAGGTGCCCTGTTTTCCCCCGAACCGCCATCGGGCAATCAATTGTCTTTTCAAAGATAGGACTATCTATTAACAGTGTAATATATGTTTATGATAACTATTGTATGAATTGACTATTAAATTGACTACAGATAACTCAGAGCAGTAGTGGGCTATACTATTAAACTTGCTTAAAAAAAGTGAGATATTATTTTGTATATCTGACATATTTTTGCCATTGCAAGATATTTTCTGCGAGCAATGATAGCACAACGAGTACACCGTACTGTACCCTCTACTGATGAAGGACACAGACAGTAAAGTCAAGACACAAGACTGGAGAATGGAGAATTAAGCAGCAGGTCAGGCAATTTAACTTCCTTAATTCGTCGGCTCACCTGTCTGTTGAACCAAAACGGAGCAAATATCCGCAGGTAACAGGTGATCAATGCAGCAGAAATTCAGAAACCATCTCAATTAGCCAGCTCTTCTGGACACTTTGACCTTGAATAATAATATTCCCAAGCACCCCACCTATTAGGCTATTACTGTATGACGCAAGGGGGACTTCTTTGACTTTGGTAATGTAATAACTCCCTCCGTATTTTAATGTACGACGCCGTTGACTTTTAACCAACGTTTGACAATTCGTTTTATTTAAAAAGTTTATGTTATTATCATTTATTTTACCGTGACTTGATTTATCATTAAATATTCTTTAAGCATGATATAAATATTTTTATATTTACACAAAAATTTTGAATAAGACGAATGGTTGGTTAAAAAGTCAACGGCGTCATACATTAACGGAGGGAGCAAAAGTTTTGCAAATTTCACCCCTTAACAAGCTGACTCTGTTACTACGACGCAGCCCTTGTTTGACTCGGACTTCCATTGTGCGTTCTTGACCTTTCCTGCATTCTCTTTGTTAATTAGTAATATTATTTTTTTTGAAGAAAATGCATTTTATTACATGTATGGTAGGAGTAGGTAGGTAGACGTCACGTACAATTTATTTAAGTAGTATATGTTCCTGCATCTTCGTTAATCTAATGGCTGCAGTAGAGCAATCCCGTGATCTCTAACATCTGCATTTGAATAAGACATCAAAAAAAAAACATTTGTATTTGAATAACAATATCAATCTATCATTATACATAAACAAGTGTGTATGATTCCAACTAATCGAAAAGTTTCGTAAGTTCGGCGAGAGATCGAGACTGCGTTAGCCCAATTGACCACGTGAGAACATGCACACTGCAGCACCGCCCCGATGGAACCTTCCGAGCTTTACGACCAACTGTAATCAACTCCTCTTAAAAACCTCAATTATTTTGCGGAGGCGTCGCCGTCTCCTACAGGAAAAAGCGGAGCATTTGCGTGCTCGGGCGCACAAGCAACAGAGCAGCAGATTCGCGGATTCGATCGGACACAGCGTCAAATGCAGGTCACCTGAGCAGTAATCCCGGCAAGCCGGCGACACCTTTGCTCATCTTCGCCGCTGTCGTCGCCATCGCCGTCTTTCGATCCAAGAGAAGAGGTAAAGATGAGAGAAAGATACTACCTCCGTCTTAATAGTGTCCAATATTTAACCATCTGTCTCATTTAAAAGATTATAAAAAATAGAGTAAATTTCACAAAACTACATATTTTATGGTCCAAGTTACAGAAAACCACACGCACTTTGACACTTGTCACTTGAGTACATATATTTTGGTAGTGTAGTTTCACAAAACTACACTCTCGATGTATAGATTCACCCACGAGATGATGTGGCTGTTTCACCTAGGATAAGTATATGGCATCCTATTAACAGCCATCGCACGAAATTAATATGATGCCACGTCCTCATACTAGATGAAACAACCACGTCGTCATATCACGAGTGAATCCATTCATCGATAGTGTGGTTTTGTGAAACTAAACTACCAAAATATATATATTTAAGTACCAAGTGTCAAAATATGTGTGGTTTTCTACAACTTGAACCATAAAATATGTAGTTTTGTAAAATTAACTCTAAAAAATAAAAGATAGTCAATATAAAGTATTGTCCACATTTTATCAACTAATAATAATAAATACTAATCATAACTTTTTTAAATAAGATAAAAGATATATGAAAATTCACAACTGTATTTATATTAGGACAGATGTAGTACGAAAGAATCGATGTAGAGAAAAAGGAAATGTTCTTCTGATTTTCTTTATCCAAGCGTAGGAAATACTATCCTTTAACATGGATCATTTACATGTAAATCCATTAATTCGGGAAAAAAAAGATTAGGTGAGAAGTCGATATTTGCATGGGAATTAAAGAAAGAAAGAAAGGGATTTGGTCAAGGGGGAGGAAGGAGGCTGACGCGCGGGAACACGTGTGAGCCAGCACGTGACCACGCGGCGAATTCGCCTCTTTCCTTCCGCTTCCGCCTACCTCACCTCACCTTAGCTCACACGACCAAGAACTCTCTTCTTTTCTGTCACTTCTCTTCCATTCCTGAGGAGGAAGAACCCAACTGCATCTTGCCTGGATACTCCTAGCTTGCAGAGTCTTCTGTTCTGCAACTCTGAAGACCCTGATCGATCGGTGCCATTCTTTTTTGCTTTCCTTCGTCAGGTTTGTTCATCTCTGAACATGTTTGGCACAATTAGCTTTGATACATCTGGGATAAAGTTTCATTTCCTTTTTGCAGTGTTCCTGCCTTTTCTACCTTTTTCGCTCTTTGTTCTTGCGACTAATGGGGCTACAGATCGTTGATTTATGGTTGCCAAAATTGACTATGTACTTGGGAATTCAGTGCGCTTGTGGTTTCTTGTCAGAAATTAGCATCCCTTGCTCTTGCTGGTTTCTTTCTTTCTTTCTGCAGTTTGTAACGAGATGTAGGTTCAGAGCAATTCCAACAGCTCTCCTCTTGTTTTTGTTTCGCAGCCCATCTTTTTTGGGAGTGTTTGTTTAATCAGTTGGTGATCTTCAGCCGTCCTAGCTAATTTGAATCGTTTTTGAGTTTCTTGTTTGCCTAGTTTTTGTGCCGTTTTTTAGGATGCTGTTGCAGAGACGTTATTATCTGCTCCTGTACGTTGGCCGAGTCCGCGAATTTTGGTGAAAATTTGTTCTCTCTTGCTCCGTTTATATATGGCTCTTTCTGATCGCCATCTTTCTTCTCATATCATTTTCTCCCAAGAGAAGTAACCTCGGTTCTTTCTATGCTTTGTTGCCTAGATTGCTACAACAGAAGTTTCTCAGTGGTGAGCTTGCCTTGGTTTATTAGCCCACTTCTTGTTTCCCCAATTTATTCACCCAATCTTTTATAACTCTGAACTTTTGAGTAAATGTTTGATTATTTGGATATCTTTATTCATGTAAATCATTTCAGATCGGTGGTAGCGGCAACAATTGTTGTTGTTGTTGTTCTATTCATTTCTGATTTTCTTTAACAACATGTTGTGTTGATTCCTTGCAGTTCAATCGTAGCTCTCTGTGATACAAAAAAAAAATGGCTGGGGGTGGAACGAGCATCAGGAAGTATGTTGGAGCCCTAAAGGACACAACAACCGTAAGCATAGCAAAAGTGAACAGCGATTATAAGGTAACAATGATCATAATGTGTTATAGACTCTTATTCCTACATAATGGCCTTGATTAGATATCTTTGGTTTGTGCTCTTTGTGACAGGATTTGGATATTGCTATTGTGAAGGCCACAAACCATGTCGAGAATCTACCAAAGGAGAAGTACATAAGAGGTGGTGACTCAATGCTTTATCTGAACTGCAAACACTGGTTTTTTCTACTGAACGATGAGAACACTACTAATTATCAGTCATGTTTACTCATGCACTTCTTCTGTTTGCAGATATCTTTTATCATCTCTCTGCTGGAAGGGCTCGAGCAGATGTAGCATACTGCATCCGTGCTCTTGGTAGGCGTCTTTCAAAGACACGCAACTGGGCGGTATGTGTACTACACATTTTTCTATTATCCATAAATTGCGTCTTTCAGATCAGTACTTCAATTCTCTGACTCTATCTATTCCATAGCATATTTCTCAGCAGGAGTTATTGCAAATATTAGCTATTGATGTCGGTGCCAATAAACCTTTCAATACCCTGACAAATGATCTCTGTATATTTTTACCTTGCGTTGAATAAAAAATATTTCAGGGTGCTAGCCAATAGACAAAATTGATGACATTGTACCTATGATCTATGAACTGATTATTTGAAATTTTTCTCAGGTTGCACTTAAGACCTTAATCGTCATACACCGTGCCCTACGGGAAGTTGATCCCACTTTCCGTGATGAGCTCATTAGCTATGGAAGATCCAGTACACATATGCTTCATTTGTCCTACTTTAAGGATGATTCAAGTGCAGAAGGTAATAGCTACTAATTTCACCCTTTCCCAGATCTTAGTATTGGAACTTATGATTACTTGTTCGCTATCTTAGTATTGGAACTTATGATTACTTGTTCGCTTGTGCAGCTTGGGATTATTCTGCATGGGTTCGCAATTATGCATTGTACTTAGAAGAGAGACTAGAATCTTTCCGTGTACTGAAATATGACGTTGAAAAAGATCCACCGGTAAGTAATCTAATGTGAATCACATTGGGTGTTTCTCTTCTGTGGACCGTGGTGTGCCATGTTTGTTTGTTGAACATATTTGTTTTAAGAAGACTTAATTTGGAAGTCAAAACCACACGAACCAGTTGTATGACGAATTAGATTGCCACACTAATATATATATTGTCAATGTTATATATGCATTATCGAAGAATCAAAATTCATAATATGTAGTACAGGATGTCAATGGGTTACTTTAGCATCTTGTTTATGACAAATATGTTACTCACAGAGAACTCGAGACCTCGACACGGTTGGTTTGCTTGAACAACTGCCAGCACTACAGCAGCTTCTTTTTCGGCTACTCGGTTGCCAGGTGATTCATTATTTGTCACACTGTAAAAGAATGCTGCTATTTATATATTTCTGAGGTGTCATGAAATTTTAAAGGTTCCTTGCTAACTTCTTTTCAGCCACAAGGGTCATCATCTTATAACAACATAATCCAGCATGCACTTTCAATGGTGAGAACTCATAATATCTCTGAGTAGTGTACTAGAGTGAATAATCTGAGTATTCCTTGACATTGTTTTCTGTGTTAATGGAAGGTTGCTCTAGAGAGTGTTAGGATCCATACAGCTATCAACGATGGGATACTGAATCTGGTTGACAAGGTACCAATAACTAGCTTATCGATAAATATAAGCTTGTACACTTTTTATCATTTCTCTTAATCCACTGATAACTTTTGCACAATGCAGTTCTTTGAGATGCAAAGGGATGATGCTCTTAGAGCCCTTGACTTATTCAAAAGAGCAATTAACCAGGTAAATTTTCTTTTATCTACTGTTAGACAAATAATTATTTGTTCCATTTTATTAATCTTTAAATATTTAATATATCTTCTACCCCAGAAATTTTGCATTGAGTGACTACATAACATGTCTGCGTTTCCTAAAATTGTTCCTTTTCTATTTGGACAGGCGGGACAACTTTCTGAATTTTATGAAATGTGTAAAACCATACATATTGGGCGTGGCGAGAGGTTCTTAAAAATTGAACTGGTATGGTTGGAATTGCCATTGTTATTACTGTGTTTTTATTTTTATTATGATTTTAACTTGTGATATCCTATTGGACGTATACAGCCTCCGACCTCATTCCTGCAAGCTATGGAGGAGTATGTGAGAGATGCACCCCTTGCTTCAATAAACCAAAGAAATCAGGTTTGGAACTACTAAAATTAGTAACACATGGCCCTTCAACTAGTTTCCTTGTAATTAAATACTAAAAAATGATATAAATGTATTTAATGGAATATTTTTGGACGTTTTATATGTTCTTAGGCTGTACTAGCAATAGAGTACAAAAGAAAACCAGAGGATGAAGAATCATCAAGTTCAGCTCCTCTGCCGCCGCCTCCAGTATCAACTTCAGAATCTGAACCTGAACCTGAGCCTGAGCCAGTTAAAGAAGTCTCACCCGTACATGAGCCAACCGATTTGCTGGTAATATTCCGTGCTTCTGCTTAATGTTGAAACCTGCAAGTTAGCTTATTTTGAATTCTTGTAATATTTTTCATCCCCACTTGGTAGGGAATGAATGAACCGACCCCTGACGTGTCAAAAATCGACCAAAAGAATTCTTTGGCTTTAGCAATTGTTCAACCAGGTAAACATCTTACCTATGCACTTCAGCTATTATCTTACCAAGTTTTTTAAAAGAAAAATGGAAAATCAAGTACTAATATGCCCCTAATTTTTTTTTCAGACAATACACCAAAAGCCGCTGCTCCTACTACTGAAAACGTTGCCACTAGCTGGGAGTTGGCACTTGTCGCCGCGCCAAGTTCAAATGGCAATGCTGCCACCTCGAACAAACTGGTACATATATATTCAGAGAAATTTGTCTAAATTTGCTTTATTGGAACCCTCTGAAACCACACTAAACACGCTTAACCTGAAACTTCACTTCAACAACAGGCTGGTGGGCTGGACTTGCTCACCCTTGACAGCCTATACAACGAGGCGCACCGACAAGCGCAACAGAACGCAAGCTACAACCCCTGGGAGGCAGCAGCCCCAGCATCATCTGGCCCAATGATGCAGCAGCCAATGCAGAACCCGTTCTACGCCTCGAACGCCATTGCTCCGCCCTTAAACGTGCAGATGGCCGCCATGGCGCAGCAGCAGCAGCATATGTTCATGCTCCAGCAGCAGCAACAACAGTATGATCAGCAGCAGCAGCAGATGATGATGATGATGGGAAGGCAACCGTATGATCAGCAGCAAGGCTCTTCTTCCAATCCGTTTGCTAGTCCATACATGTCTGCAGGAGTTCACCCGTACGGTCCGGGGATGCAGCTCCATGCCGGCAATTCGTACACATACTCTGGGACAGGCATGATGTAGAGTGACACACCATCTGCTGCTTGTTTGGCAGTTTTTTTTTTTTCATTTTATCGCATTTTTTTGGGCGGTTTATCAAATGTGATTTTAGGAGGATTAGATCGGTAGATGGGACCTGGTATAGAGTCAAGATGAGCATTGCCGTCGAAGTTTTTTCCCTGCTCTTTGCTGACAAAGAGGGCACTGGAGTTCTCTAAAAAAAGAAAGCAGTTGTGAAGGGTTGTATACATTGAAATCTAATGTAACAACTGCTGCTATTTCTGAAACATAAGATGTAAATGAACATTATGTTTCATGATCTGCGTGAATTGGTCGGTAGAACTGCCATTTCCTACAAACAAACAAGCTGCAGGCCAGAATAGGATAGGCCCTTTGATTGTTCAGACTTCAGAGTGACTGGACTCTGAAGAAGCCGCGTGTACCTGCATTGATGGGCGATGTGTATGCACGGACGGCACGGACGGCACGGCGAATCGTGCCGTGCCATGCGATGCGGCCGCCCAGGCAGAGCGCCGTGCCGGAGCGGACAGGGAGGTGTCAACTGCTACAGTTAATGCAGGCAAAGCTAGTGTCCATCAACATCTCATACCGACAAAAATCACAAAAACTAATCATGATTCAAGTTGAAATCAGCCGGAGGACATAACCAAACCATCTTACACCGAATTTCAAATTTGTACATGCAATCTGAACATGTAAGGGTTCACGCTACTGAATGGGACCACAGGAGCCAAGGCTTCGACAGTATCTGTACACAAGTTTACGGCTGCTTCATCGCAAGGTATTAACCACGCGGGCAAGAGAAGGGGCGTACCGATCGATCAGAACGCGCTGCTGTACTCGTCTTCGCTGTTCATTTGAATCAGCCACAGGATCGCGACGCCAAAGACCAGGAAAGAAGATAGCTCCATCGTGAGCGCTCCCCATCCAATGACGCCGGCATGCTTCAGGATCGACGGGATGGCGATGCTCCCCACTATCGATGCGCCCGTCAAGAATTTTGTGAAGCTCACCCAACTGCAGTGAAATCAGATCAGTGTGAAACAAGGATTATTTTTAAGTGGATCTCCCCCACTAACAACAACATGTGCATGCTCAAGTCAATAGTCATATGGTCTGGTAAACAGAGTTACTTAGTACTAGCTAGTAAATGGAACGCAAAGATTCAACAGAATAACTAACAGTCGTTTCTGAATCTCTAATTTGAGAATGTTTGTCAGGAATTTTATTAAATCAGAACTGGTAGTAGTACCATGAGTGCAGGTAGCAAGGAAAGGTAAAAATGAAATAGCAATGACTCCTGGTAAGGAAGGATTATCACTTACGTATCGCCATCATTAGACATCATTGAGGGGCTGTTGGAGCCCAGGAAAAATATGAGGGGCATTGGTAGTATGAGGTACATAAGAACTGCAGAAAATGACATTGACAACTTATAAGTTTCACAAAAACAAAATATATTGCTGATGTAAACCAAATTTTCTAACCTGTTAGCATTGGCCACCAGTTGTTATACAGAGCACAGGCCTGAAGATGATACAGTCACAGGATTTAGACAATGATCAGAAAAGATAAAAAAAAAGTAATAAGTTGGTGTGAAGGTAATAAACTTGGATGCTTACCAGAATCTGCAATACAATTCCACCAGAAACCAGTATTGCAAGAAGCGCAAGTCTTCCACTGTGCAAACATGTCCTCATACTACGCGCCATTGTTTCCCTTGCAGCTGTTCAGATTCAGTTTCCGGAATAGGAACAGGTAGATAAGCAATGTATTGTTTTGAAGTGAAATGAGAAACACATTACAGACAGTACATGGAGTAAAGCCCAAAATTGCCACAGAAACCACCTCGAATATAATGTTTAGTGTTTGCTTTGGCCAACTTATCACAAAAACAGTTGTGCAAGAAAAGTATGCTGTTTGAACTGGCGAATTGCCAGCTCCCCAGCACAAGCACATGATTCAAATCGAACAAGTTTCCCAGCCAAAGAACTACGGTGGATGGAGAATAGAGGCTGAATCACAACAATATGGTTGTAGAGTACAGAACAGAGAAATCCACCTAGAGTAATGCTCCCTCAACATAGTCTAAAACAACCAGACACCAGACCTTGTTTTCAGTCGGCCTTCAACATATGAATTGGTCATAATTCTGTCAGACACACACATGATTTGCAGACTCGAAGATAAACAAAAACAGCCATGTGCACAGCAAAAGGAACGAACAGAGCGAACCGCAAACGCCCACAAGAGTGTTCATGTGAACAGCTCACCAGCGTGTCGTAATCAATACAATTCTGCATGAATTGGCCCGGCAAGAGAACTTATACGAAAAATTGCTCATAAATGTGAACTTGCTAAAAAGTTACTACTAGCTAGATAAGTGCAAAACCAATCATTCCACATGTACGCAACCTAGGTGGGTAATATGTAATTCTTCTCCCAGGCTATCATCCAATTCAGAGATTCAGATCTGATTCAGGAACAGACCAACCAATCATTCCCTCCCTCTCTCTCTCTAGGGCCGCAACCTGCAGCGATTCAACCAGTAGCTACGCAAGGCAAGGAGGAAGAAAGGAGGGGAGACGGATGCATACTCTGGCCGCGTCCCGCGGAAACGCTCCCCAGGCGGCCTCCGCCGCCGCCGCGCGCCGGCGCACGCGAAGGGACGGCGGCGAGGCGGCGACGAGTGGGCGCGGATGCCGAGGCGGCGAGGCGAGGCGCGGAGCGGAGGAATTTCCCGGCGTCGTAGGGGAGGAGGAAGAGGCGAGTTGGATTGAAGGGTTGGTGATGCGGTGGACGGCCCCGCTGATTAGGCAAAGGTAATTTAGTCGAGGATAATCGATTGATTAGCTGGCTAATCAAGGAGAAAATACCCAAATATGATACGATGAATCTGCTAAAGTATACTTAGGGTGTGTTTAAGAGTAGAGAAAAAAAGTTAGAAGATATGCAAAACGAGAGTATAATTATTTAAATATTAATTATCTAAAATTTAAATAATAAAGTAATATAATATAATTTTTTAAGTAACTTTCTTATATAATTTTTTTATTAGGATATACCGTTTAGCAATTTAAAAAATGTGATAGTATAAAATGAGTGCTCGGAACGAATGCAACCATAGTACCAATACTTCCTTCGCTTTAAATTATAAGTCATTTGATAGTTAAACTTTTTTAAATTTGAACAAATTTTTAAATGAAATATAAGAACATTTTTAATATTGAAAAACAATGTATCAAAATTAATTTAATGTTGAATATAATGAAACTTTGGTGTTATACATGTTGCTATTTTTTCTATATCATGATCAAATCCAAATAACTTTAACTAATAGAAAAAGTCAAATGATTTATAATATAAAACGGATATAGTACTTACTTATATTATGTTATGTTTATTTTTTTTAATAATTCAATTTGGCTTTTCACATATTCCCAAGTCCCAATCCAAGCTAACGAGGACGCATCTCGCGTCTTCTTCTCCACCAACGACGTCACCACCTTCACCGAAAAGGATTATTAGTAGTAGCCCATGATGAGGCAAAGAGCCAGCCAATCACCACACGCGTAACGTCACTTACAGGTGGGCCCCGAAATCGACCGCCACTTACATGTGGGCCCCAAAGTTAAGCGACACAAAAAAAACCTGCACTCCCAGTCTGCGACTGCAACTGCATCATATATCATACTATATACCTCCTCGCCCATCAAATACCAAGTCCATTCCTCCTCTGTTTCTTCCTTCCACCACGCGATCAGCGCGCGCGCGAGAGAGAGAGAGAGAGAGGGAGAAGGCGCGATCGCAATGGGGAGGATCCAGTACGCGGCGGTGGCGAGGGGGGCGGTGGTGATGGCGGAGCACGGCGACGCGGCGTTCCCCAACGCCGGGGCCGTCGCGCGGCAGATCCTCGACCGCCTCTCCGCCGGCGATGGCGGCGGCGGCGGCGATTGCAACATCTCCTACACGCAGGATCTCCACGTGTTCCACGTCAAGCGCACCGACGGCGTCACCGCGCTCTGCATGGCCGACGACGCCGCCGGACGTAAGTAACACCCCCATGGCATCCGCATCGCCATCGATCAATCAACGCGTCGTTATCGTCGTGGTTGGCCCCCCGCTCGATAGTCTTCTCCCGCCGCAGCGAAGTCTCTGGATCTGGACGAGATCAGGATCAGTAGCGGTGATGCCAGAGTCTCGTCTCGCGTGTTCAGGATCTTGTCTCGATCAATGTAATATGGGGGTGGAGTGAGATTGAACCGTGGGAAATGGGAAAATTATTTGATCATTGCAATTGCCGTTTTCATGATGGACTATTGGATTATTTGATCAGAACTTCGCTGTTTTTTTAAAAAAAAACATTGGGATCGAAACTTTTTTTTTAAAAAAAAGATAGAAAAATGTAGTACTCACTTTTGTTTATCACACGCCACTCATTTTGTAGTTATGATATTTTCTTTTGGTGATAACTGTGTGCATATCTTCCATCTTGCAGGACGGATTCCCTTCGCGTTTCTTGAGGATATCCACGGAAGGTTTGTCAAGACGTATGGTCGTGCTGCTCTCACTGCTCTTGCTTATGCGATGAATGATGAGTTCTCGAGGGTTTTGGGCCAACAAATGGACTACTACTCAAACGATCCCAACGCAGATAGAATATCTCGGATGAGAGGTGAAATGGATCAGGTTGGCTCCCCTCTATCTTCTGTTTTTCACATCAGTAAACTGAATTTTACTAGTATACAAACTTTTACTGTACATTCTGTTCATGTTAATTAACCTTTACAGTACTTCTCGTATCTTTCTGTAGTTAAATTAAGAGTTGATGGTGCCTCTTATAAGTTCAGAAAGAATGATATTAACGAAAATTTCTTGCAGGTCCGGAATGTTATGATCGACAACATTGACAAAGTACTCGAGAGAGGTGATCGTCTGGAGCTGTTGGTCGACAAGACTGCAACTATGCAAGGGAACACGATGCGATTTAAACGACAAGCTCGCCGCTTCAGAAACACCGTCTGGTGGAGAAATGTCAAGCTCACGTACGTACATTACCACCATTCGGTACACCAAACACCCTACGAACACTTGCCCTTGCCCTTCTGCTTGCCTACGTCATTATGGGTTTTCGTTTTCATGCTCCATACCGAAAACTCATTAATCATTATATACTTCGACTATTAGGTTGCTTCAGCTTAAGCAATTGACATATGATATGATAGCCTCTCTCACATGGTTTTCCTATTCTTTGCAGAGCCGCATCGGTATTCATCCTTCTTGTAATAATATACATAGTGCTTGTATATATGTGCCACGGCTTCACCTTACCGTCTTGTATTTAGTACACCTCTATACGAAGCTTCATTCCGATCCTAAAATTGTCCCAGGTTCCTTGTAAGAGAAGCTCCGCTGTTGCAATTTTTCTTCCAACATAAAAGAGGCAATGTTGCATTGCTTGATCTTGTAATTTTTTGCACCCACTCCTGGAAGCTCACCAATGTTGCCAACTTGCCATCTAACCATGGTTCACATCTATCGAAGAAAATGGCACTTTCTAAGTTGCTCCTCGACTGCCAATATTTTACTGCAAATACCCTATAGTGGATTTGCCCGATCTTGTCTGTCTTGGTTCTCCTCGAGACAGCAATTACAGTCCAGTTAAAACATTGTCAATTGCCCAAGATTTATCATGAGTAAAGGACTCGTTTAATCCAAGGAAGCATCAATGCCAGCCGAGTAATCCTAAATCGTCCAGTATTCGAATTGCCAGTTTTGACACGCAAGAAGCCAAACACACGTGAACGCAATTACGCAAGGGACGAGTCAACTTCTATCAGTATATATCAAGCAGAGAAGGAACAGCGCAAGACATGTTTCGTACAATCACATCTTGAACCACACAAATATATAAAACGGTAGTGTTACAAACAAACAATTTTGGACGGAGCGTTTCCTTAGGCCTAATAACTCTCTCGGAAGAATTAAGCGTAATAATTTAAACTGGACTTCTTTTTGGCTTGCACTTGTATGATCCCTTCATTGAAATCCTCGTGTGTCACCTGCGTGAACGATGGACAAGGATCAGCCAAAGCAATACATTATGATTGTTCCTATATACAGTTGCATGCGCTTCAGGATTGACAAAGTCAAAGCAGCAATTTGGTATACGCTAATAAATAGACTCGAAAATTTTGCAACCAAATACCAAACCGACATGTGATGGTCTAGAAATGCCATAGATCTAATGTTTATCACTCTATCCCAGGCTCCAAACCTAATTTATGTGGGGTACTCATATTCCATTGCTTTTACCAATGGATTGATCAGGTCCCGCCAATCCCCAATATATATACCAGTAAGTTACCAAACAAATTCACAAGATCAGAATGTAACACAAACCTCTGTAGCATCTCGGCGTAGGGCAAGCATGCCTGCTTCTACACAAACGGCCTTCAGTTGTGCACCATTGAAGTCGTCCGTAGATCGTGCCAACTCTTCAAAGTTGACATCAGGGTTTACATTCATTTTTCTTGAATGGATCTAGAGTAAGACCACATAAAATAAAGATTGTTTTAGTTCTGGCAGAACAAGGATTTATTTTATTTTTAAAGAAAGATAATCAGGTCAGCAATTTTTGGAACAAGTAGCCAACACAGATTTCAGGAGACATACTTGCAAAATTCTAGCTCGTGCTTCTTCGGATGGATGAGGGAACTCAATTTTTCGGTCCAGCCTACCAGACCTCATCAAAGCAGGATCAAGAATGTCCGCGCGATTAGTTGCAGCTATCACCTGTAGTCCATGGCACATCCAACCATTACTTAGATAATATATTAATGAAGCATTCATAAAGTATTGATAGATAATGGTCAGTAGAAGCATGTCTAAGACTTATCATTTGCAATTAAATGTATTTCTCATTCTATTAAGATTAATGAATTCAAAACCATTTTGTGCCAAATCATCATAACGATGACAATGAATGGTTTACAGTTTGCAAATATTCAGACTTAAGAAACAAATAAAAATGCTGACCTTTATCCTCTCGTCACTACTGAATCCATCTAGCTGATTCAGCAACTCCAACATTGTGCGCTGCACTTCTCTGTCACCACTAACTTCACTGTAGCAGGAAAAAATTACAGTTTATTATACTGTGAACAATAATATGTCTAGTTGCATGCATTGATAAAGACAATGCTAAATGTACCTATCAAAACGCTTTGTTCCAATTGCGTCAATTTCATCAATAAAAATGATGCAGGGGGATTTCTCCTTTGCAAGCTGAAAGGCATCACGGACAAGCTTTGCACCATCACCGATGAACATCTGGACCAATTCGCATAGACATTAATATGTATCTAGCAGCAAGCAGAAGAACCAATAAAGGAAGAAAATAGACCAACACTGGACCAAAGCAATATTCTTCTAGATTGCAGTATTATAGGCTACAGAGGTAACTGGAAAACCAAAGTTCCAACATTCCATCTGATCCTTGTGCCAAGAGATAAGGTGATATGAGAGTACTAGTCCTAGGCTCATAGCACATGAAGTATGAAAAGTTCTCAATAATTGAAACAGAAGGCTTAAGGACCCTAGCATCATTTGAGCTTTCATATATTTGAATTAGCAGGAGCAGGGATATCACATAGCTTTCAACAGCCTTATCACAGAAAGTAAGCTACCTGGACAAGCTGTGGACCAGCAAGTTTCAGAAATGTGGCGTTAGTTTGGGCAGCACATGCACGAGCCATTAGGGTCTTTCCAGTGCCAGGTGGTCCGTACAAAAGAACACCTTTCGGGGGGCGAATTCCCAACTTCTGAAACCGGTCCTTGTGAGTCATGGGCAATACTATTGCTTCAACAAGCTCTTGAATCTGCATTAGACAATATAAAAGTAGAACATAAGAGAGCAGATAACAATGAACAAACAGCAACTGATGAACACTTATGAGATATGGAAATGAAGTTACTGCTACTTACATAACAACAGAATGGTGACCATCCTAACTAATGTTTTCATCATTAGATCTTTAAAGTAAATAAATACCTGTTTCTCAAGGCCACCAATGTCATTGTAATCCTCTGTAGGCTTTTCATCTACCTCCATTGCCTTAACCCGTGAATCATATTCTGAAGGTAGCGTGTCTAGTATCAAGTAGCTGTCTTTGTTGACTCCAACCAAATCCCCAGGCTTGAGCTTTTCAGGGTCAACAAGCCCGATTACAGGAAGGAATATTGTCTGCAATTAAAGTAGTCAATTAAACCCATGCAGGTATCAATACAAATAAATTTAATTGAGATGAGAAACGGTATATGCATGGTAGGAGTATTACACAACTAAGATTTAGGATAAGTTGGTATATCATGCTCTATGTATTTGGTGGTATCAAATATTCAAGTCCAAGGAAAGCATGAGGCAAAGAAAACAGCAAATGAAATCCGAAGTGGTTATGATTATCATGAGTCTCCAAAATATAGATCAAGTAAGAACTTGACTGCTTGTTTAATGATTCATCAGAAAGGTAGCAGATGACCGTCAAGTAAGTTGACTTACTTGTCTTGTGGATGTCTTCAAAACAACGCATTTTCCTTTCCTTTGTGAATCCAGATCGATGTTCGCACCATCCTCTTCAGCCTCATCCTCGGGGTTCATTTCCAATATCTGAAATAGGAAGTAAGAACTTGTAAATTTGCCCCCACAATCTTGCAGAATTAGAACTACGAAGAATTCTGCTCTGACATTCTCAAGGACTCGAAAAGACCCAAAAGTGGTATACCTTTGCCAATGAAATCATAAGAGTTTATGAAACAACATCCACAAACCAACTAAGTTAAGATATCGAGCACACCAGCAATATAATAATTAATGTAAAGATGGACTACATCTTGGGTACTTTCAACATATTGACAATTTGGCATGTTTGTTATCTCAGGAAAAGGAGCACAATAAGGTCAATATGTCCTGAAATTAAGATCTATGCCATTAATCACTATTCCTAACACACATGACGCTTAGAATATGAAACATGGGTAAAGGGCAATTACAGGGGAGTGAACAGAAACTAGTACAAAATCATGAATATGGCATCAACAAAGTATACAACGAAGTCAAGCTCCAATTTTCCAGATCGATGTCCAGAACCGATCTCCGCACATTAAAACTACTTGGGCCTTAAATTGAACATGAAATTTCACTGGTAACCCAGTCAAAGTGGTGCGCGCACAAACCTCGACGATGTTGCCGACAAGGTAAGGCAGCTGCTTGTTGAGTTTGATCTTCTCCTGGTTCTCCTTGATCTTCTCCTTGTAGGATTCCACCTCAAGGTTCGTCCGCTGCAGCTCATCCTGAGGCACCCGATGAGACAAACCCCCACAAATCAGACCAAATCCCATGGAGGAGATCGCTGGGGCAAAAGCTAGGGTTTCCCGCGGAGGCGGAGAGAGAGAGAGAGAGCAAACCTTGAGGACGCGGGTCTCGTTGTCGAGGAGGCGGGTTGCCCTGACGATGTCCTCCGTGGACATGGAGGCGAGCTGGTCGTCGTCGGCGTCGTCGACGGCCATCGCGGCGGCGGCGGCGGGCGGCGGCGACGACATCGCTAGGGATTTTGCTTCGACTTGGGGAAGGAGTTGATCGATGCGGTTTGCGTTGGTCAGTTTACTGTAGTTATGAACCCAAAGCTCTACTTCGGCTGTTTGTAGCCTTGTTTGGGTCCGGGTCGGGTTCAGGGATTTGGGGGTTGTTTGGTTACTATTTTTTTTAATGCTAAATTTTGGTAAGTTTTGGCATGACTAATTTTGGTAAGGTAAAGTTACGTTTAGATTGAAGCCAAAATAGCCTAATAAGTTAACTATTGAAATGGCCTACTTTCTTAAGCATGCCAAAATTTGGTTTCAAACCAAAGGTCTGTTTACTTTGATGCCATTTTCAACCTTACCAAATTTTGGTAACGTTGCTAAAAAAAAGTAGATACATTTAGTTTGCTGCCAAATTTTAGTAACTATATAAGAAATCCTGACAAAAATTTTGGTAATGCCAAAATTTGGTAAGTTTTTTTTCATCAAAGTGAACAAGCCCCAAATAGACACTAAACACTATTGAAATTGCCAAATATTGGTAAGGCCAATTTAGGGGCCTGTTCACTTTGATGTCATTTTCAACCTTACCAAATTTTGGTAAAGTTGCGAAAAAAAGTGGCTACATTTAGTTTGCTGCCAAATTTTGGTAACTATATAAAAAATCCTACCAAAATTTTGGTATGGCAACTATGCTAAAATTTTAGCAATGCCAAATTTTGGTAAGTTTTTTTTTCGCATCAAAGTGAACAAGCCTAGGCCTCAAACCAAACCAAGCCTTGGTGACTTTCCCACTCTGAAACTTTCCCTGTTTATGTATAGAATAAACAAATTTATGTAAATAAAGTTTACTCCCTCCGTTAAAAAAAAACAGTAGTAAGTTATTTTCTGGGACAGAGGTAATATGCGTAGAAACTTTGTTCTCAAATGAAAATCAGAGTGCAAACTTTATACTTTTATTAAAAAGAGATGTTAAAAAAAAATATGTGACTGTAGTAGAGCGTTCGCCGCATCCAAAGTGCATGCATCAACCCTCTGTGAGGACTTAAGGGTGTGGAACTCCAACATTTTATAATAGAATACTGATAATTTTATAACAGTGATTTTACTTACAACCTTTATATTTTTTATATTGTTTTTTAACTAAAATCTTAATGGTATTAAAAAGATTAAAAACATGTAATACCCTTACAGATTTTCCCCTAACTTTTTATACTTAATGGTTTTTCCGATATCTCCACATCGAACATTGTGACATGAATTTTCACATATTCTGTCAAAAGATGAGGACAAGATGAATCTTCACATCGTTAAGTCCTTGAACATAATAAGGACAACGCAAGCTTTAGTTAAAAAAATAGGGAAAATAAAAAAAATAAAGTAATGGTAAAACACCATTGAAGTTAAAAAAAAATGGGACAAACACCGTTGAAGGCATGTAGACCCTCGTTTTATTTTGGAAATTAGTGACAATTAATTAGAAGGATTTAATGTCTTTGCTAAGTGTTCGAAAGATTAAATGGCAACCTTAAAATTAAATAATGAAAAGATAGCTTCATGAATTGCGGTAAAAATGTCTTTTTGATCTCTTAGTCATGCTAATACCGCATTATTAAGAGGAATGTCTATACGTTACCGCTCAAAGTCGCATCGGAAAACACCACGGATCGGGCACCCGACGCGCGCCAGAAAAATCGGGGGCCGCGCTCGCCCGCCGCCCACGTGTCGCCCCCACGCGTCCCCACCACAGCGCACCATGTTGCAACAGTTACCGGGATATAACGGAAACGCTCTATTAAGGAGGATCCATTTCATTTTTTTTGTTACACCAAAAATGTTTCACCTAGTGTACTCATAATGTTTCACTATGTATGGATTAAATGTTACAGTAAATTAAATATTCTTTTGCAACAAATCACCCACATATTATGGAAACACTCTATTAAGGGAATCCGTTTTATTTTTTGTTCCACAAAAAATATTTCACCTAGTGTATTCATAATGTTTCACTATGTATGAATCAAATATTGCAGTGAATTGAAACATTATTTCGCTATTTGCTGAAACATTTGTTTTTATATAGGGTGAAACAATGCTCAATTTTTTGGAAACCGTTGTTTCATACGTTATAGCAAAATGTTTCATGATGTGATTTAGTTGTGTTTCAACTTTTTAAAAGACTGAAATATTTTTGATCTATTTAGCGAAACATGTTCAATCTACCTAGTGAAACAATGCCCGATTTTTTAAAAAAAAATCGGACGCCCGATTTGTAGGTGCCTCGCATTTTATCAAAGTCTTAATGCTTTTTAGGTTGGAATGCCCGACATCTGGTTAGACTATCTGATATTGGAGTTTCCAAGTTTTCTAACCAACTCAGTTCTCTATGTTGATATTCATTGCTAGCAATCGGAATGTCCAACAAATCTTGGCTTTACTTTCAACTCTGACCGGAAACGTTTGAAGTTGAAATCGGAATATCCAAAATTCAAAGGAACTCATCAATCGGGTGATATTTATTACCCACATCGGATATTTGATTGTCTCGAGTGTTCAATATTCTAGGAAAATCAGTTCACTAGCAAAATCCCCGTGCATTGTAATGGATGAAGTCAACCTACTTTAGGCTTATAAAACACTACCTTGTTCAATAATGTATCAATAAGCATCACAAAGGTTCTAGTGAGAGTGTAGGTAATAGGTGGTAACAGAGTAAAATTCAATCATCCTTGCCATTTCAAAAACTATGTGAAATAATGCATGAATAGAAATTTGGCAGATAATTGCCACATCTGGAGATTCTCCATTTCCATGTTCAGATGTTGTTCCAGTGCTAGCTTTCTTTCATGAATTTGGAACACTTGAAAATAAAGGCTATGCATGCTTGATCTCAGACAGTTTACTGATCCAAAATAGTCTCGTACTATTACTAATTATTTTAGCTATAGCAACCTTTGGATGGGATCATCACTGTCGTTGTCCTGATTTCATGCTCCTGCTGGAGTGCTAATGCTAGGGGACGAAGGTTCGAGAAGCTTCGGGAGGTCGTATGTAGACTTTAATTTTGGTACCAAGTGGGCTTTGTTTTGATTTGATTCGTTCGGCGGCCCATACAAGTGGGCTTTTCAAGTAAGGAATTCCGAAAGGAATAAGTTCACTTCATGACCCTCAACTGTGATCGAAATCTAATCCATGACCCTAAACCACAAAACCAGATATCACTGGTAGAGAAAGGCTTTTTACTACCGGTTTGTAACCATCTGTAGTCCCGGTTTTCCAACCGGGACTACGAATCCGGGACTAAAGATCGCTATCTTTAGTCCCGGTTCAAATACCCGGGACTAAAGATCGATTTTTAGTGTTACCAACCGGGACTAAAGATGAAGTCAAATCCGGTCGGTAGTTTCTCTTTTCTTGTATTGTTTTCTACTTTGAATATTGATTTTACCACATCCCCCAGAATCACAGAACAAAACATCATCTCCAAATCTCAAATCAATTAATTACAAATCCATCATCTCCAAATACAAACATCACAAATACATCACATATTCACATCACACATAGATCAAATACATCACAAATTCTCAAAACCAAATTCATCACAAGTCCGAAAAAAAAAAACAAATCCTCCACTGCCGCCGCCGCCTAGCCGCCGCCCGGCCGCTGTCCTCCACCAGGCCGCATCCCAACCGCCATTCGGCCGCCGCCGCGACCGCTTCTGCCGCATGCCACCGCCTGCGCCGCCGCGGCCGCATCCACCGTCCGCCGAGCGCGGCCGCGCTTGCGTCGGGGAGGGAGCCGCGCGCCGCGCCCGCAGGGGAGGGAGAGGAGAGGTGAAGGGGAGGAAGGGGGAAGAGAAGGAGGAGATGAGAAGTTGAGAAGGGAGAAGGAGATTGGAGAAGATAAGAAGGGAGAGGAGGAGAGATGAGAGGATAAGACTGTGCGCGCGAGAGGATCGAGGAGGCGCGGCGTTTGCTCTGCGATTTTTTTTTCGTTTTCTTTTTTTCTCCCGGTTGTTATAAGGATCCGGGATTAAAAATGGATCTTTAGTCCCGGTTGATAACACCAACCGGGACTAAAGATCTAAAGATGATCTTTAGTCCCGGTTGAAATTTAAACTAGGATTATTGTGGATTTTAGGCATCCGACCAAAGATGGTTTCTCTAGTAGTGTATCTCGACCCCCGAACTCCTAAAACCGGTGCAATTTGACTCCCTGCGCGGTTTTGGGAGGCGGTTTTGCTGACGTGGCGTCTACGTGACAATATTGACCAAGTCTTCGATCCACGTGGTGTTGATGTGGCACTTACATGGCATTATAATTGTGAGACCCATTTGTCATTCACACACATAAAAAAATTGTGGGGCCCACTAACATGTGGACCCCACATGTCATCCTCCTTCCTTCTTCCTCCTCCCTCTCTCCCTTCTCTCTCTCCCCCCTTCTTCCCCTACGTCTCCCACAGGCGGCGATGGGCGATGGCACCGGGCGACGGGGAGGCCAAACAGCGGCGGCCACCCGGCTAGAGTGGCGGCGGCGCTAGAGGCAGGTCGAGCGGAGGCGATGGCGTCGGGCGACGGGGCGGCGCAAACGACGGAGGACTCCAGGCGCCGCGCAACAACCTCGACCTCGACGCCAACCTGCTCCGCGGCGACATCCAGATCGGCGTCTAGATCGAGCCGGCCTCTGGCGCCCTCGCGCGCCCCAGGCCGTCCGCGCCACCCTCCGAGGCCGACACGCCGCGCACACCCAGCCTCGCCGCGCGCCTCATGGGCGGAGGCCGCTCGGCTCGAGCGGAGGCGACGGCGCCGGGCGACGGGGCAGCCCAAACGGCGGTGGCCGCCTGGCTCGAGCGGCGGTGGCGCCAGAGGAGGATCGAGCGGAGGCGACAGCGATGGGCACCAGGGAGGCCCGAGCGGAGGCGGCGACGACAGCGGCGGGCGGGCCTTCCTCCGTGCCGTCCTCTCCTTGCTAGCTGCCGGTGCCCGAAGCTCCGCCTTCATCGCCCCCCGGCCGCTCGCTCTCGCTGTCCCCGTGTGCCACCGGCCAAAGGGGAAGAAGGGGAGAAAAAGAGAGAGAAGGGAGAGAGGGAGGAAGGA